TGGTTGCATTTTGTTGAATTATAACCTAGAACTGAAACTGATTTAATTAGGATTTTCAATGTATAATGTAGACATGGATCTCAACACTGTGAATGCGCCAATATTTTTTTTATTATGGTACAAAAGTTAAGCAAACCCAAGGAAAGTAGCCACTTGTTTAATGCATTTTCTCCATCCCCCACCAATACTTCATATAGAAATGTCTTTGGCAGAAATTACAGCTGCAGGTCCTCTTAGATAAGTCTCTATCAGCTTTGCGCATCTAGGTCAAGTACATCTTGCCAATTCTAGAATATCCTGAAATTTCTTTCCCCATATGTTAATCTGTTTGCTTATATCAGTGTTTCTCAATCTTCCTAATGCTGCAACCCCTTAATACAGCTCCTCATGTTGTGATGACTCCCAACCATAAAATTATTTTTGTTGCTATTTCATAACTGTCATTTAGCTACTGTTATGAATCGTAATGTAAATATCTGATATGCAGGATGTATTTTCATTCAATGGACCAAATTTGGCAAAAGTACCCAATATGCCCAAATTTGAATACTGGCTGATTTTATCATTTGGGAGTTGTAGTTACTGGGATTTATAGTTCACCTACAGTCAAAGGGCATTCTGAACTCCACCAACAATGGAATTGAACTAAACTTGGCACACAGAACTCCCACGACCAACAGTGCTCACACACCCCCTTGCAACCCTCCCAGGGGTCCCGACTCCTGGAAATACTGTCTTATATTTTTCCATAGATGGTTAAAGTTCATTGGTATGATGTTACTGAGATTTTGGGGGGATATCTAAACCCCAGGTATTTTATCTTCTTTTTCCCCAATTTCATTCCCATGATATCTTCTTTTCCCCCAATTTCATTCCCATGATATTTTGAGCAATACAGGCTCTGATAGCCCGAGGATGTTGAGACAATACAAGATGGGGTTTGGAAACTTGGTGGTCTTATCTCTCGGAATACATAATCAATGATTTCATAAATCAAAGGAAAATAAGTATATGAATAGTCATACAAATCAAGACTGGTATAGGAAGTGGTCTATTCTAACTGACAAAATAGACAGAGATGATAGATATAGCATTTTGAACCAGGCTTTCCACATTGACATGGGTAATGGGTGATACACATTTAAGGAATATATCAAGTGGCATATAAAGTCAAGTGACTTTTGGAATGATGTATATTGAGGTAAGACTTGTATGGCAAAAGTTTGTCAACTGAATTGATGTATCAATAAAAAACAAAAAAAAAGCCTGGTAGATTAAGATAGCTTTCTTGAATTATGCATATTTTCTAGTAATTTCTATTAAAAACTGGCTCCCAAATAGAATCTAAAAGCTAGGCAGTTTGACTGCTGCCAAGCTAGGTGTGTTTACACAGAAAAGTACATTATTATAACATCCTGAGGATAAAATGAATCAAAGGAAAGGGAGTAGATGAGTTCTCTTATCTGGTCTAGTCTACTTCTAATGAGAGTGTGTGATTACTCCCCCAGTCTACACCTCTTTACACTTGGCTGAAGACCAGATGCTGGAGATGTTGTGGTAGGATCTCTGAACATTCAGCTGTGGAACAGCTGATTTATATTGTTGTTTTTGAACAGGAAGTCCTGAGATTTGCATAAACTTGGAACAAAACTGAAAACATTTAGTGAGAGCAGAATTTTGAAGCAACATGATCTGAAACACCAGTTTACACATTGCTAGAATTATTATTTTGGAAAATGGAAGGGACATGTGATAAGGAAGACTATATGACTTTTGCAGACCCAGCTGATAACACAGTGTAACATAGTGAACCAGTGGCTAATGTCTTAGTTACCTCTCGGTTATCATAGATTACCCTAATGCTTTCTATAGGCGGGGGGGGGGGGGGGGGGAGATGCTCTTTAGAAGTGTTAAAATTGTGTCAACTGTTGTCCTCCCATAAGAACACTGGTTTGCCATTTGTATCTAGGCTCAATTCAAGGTACTGTTGTTTACCTACAAATCCCTAAATGACTTGGGGCCAAGATGACTAAAAACTGCCTCCTCCCATGCGTCTGCCAGAAATCAGATACCGTCAAGAGGAGGCCCTGTTCACCTCATGAAGTTTGGTTGGTGGGTTCACATCACTCTGCAGCCAGACTTCAACTGTGGAACTCCCTACTCAAGTAAATTAGACAGGCTTAATCTCTTGTAAGCTTCCAGAGGACAGCTAAAACAATACTGTTACATATGGCATTCAGTGCTTGAAAATGCTGTCCTAACTGTTTCAAAACTGGACTCTAGGGTATTGTCGAAGGCATTCATGGCCGGAATCACTGGGTTGTTGTAGGTTTTTCGGGCTGTATGGCCACATCACAACCTCACAATCCCTGAGGCTGCCTGCCATTGATGCAGGCAAAATGTCAGGAGAGAATACTTCTAGAACATGGCCATACAGCCCAAAGAACCCAACAACCCAGGACTCTAGTGTTTTTCAATTACTTTTTAAAAACAGTATTTTAATGTGGTTTGATCTTTGTATTCATTACCCTGGCAGCCTTTGTGGGCTAGGTGTTACAGCAAATAAAAGTGACCCGATATTGAGAGTGAATGCAGGAAACCTTCAATCAAATTCTGTTTAAGGATTACTGAATAGCTTTTTGGAAATCATTAAAAAATTTACCTTCTTTTGCCTTGTAGGATTGTAGACAGTGAAAACTGTTCAGAGTTTTCTGTCAATGCAGTAAATAAATCAGAATGGCTGTCCGCTCAGCTAGGAAGACAGTTTTGAGTGTACATTGCTTTTAGAAAACAGCTTTTTTTCATGTCCGGAGCGACCTGAGAAATTGCAAGTCGATTCTGGTGTGAGAGGATTGGTCATCTACATCTGGGCATCGCCCAGGGGATGCTCAAATGTTTTGTTATCTTGCGAGAGGCTACTCTCATGTCTCCACATGAGAAACTGGAGCTGACAGATGGGAGCTGACCCCACTCCCTGGATTCAAACCACTGACCTCTTGGTCAGCAGTCCTGCCAGCACAAGGATTTAACCCAATTATGCCACCGGGCGCTCCTAGAAAACAGCTAACAGAAGGTTTGGGCCAGAAATGGGAAACTACAATGAGATGTTGGAATACATCTGCACATGGGATTTTGAATGGTCATAAAAATTCAATTCTTGTCCAAAACTTCTGTGGGGCACTCTTGAGCATTCGGTTTCTTGTCGGAGGGAGGGGACATAACTTGTTGCAGATCTGAAGCTTTTTTCTCAAAGTCAGCATGACTAGACTTCCAAATGCAGCTTTCAAAATCGTAGCTTCACGGGCTGACACTTAATAACCTTAGTTACTCAAGAGTGACTGGAGGTGGGCTACAGCCTTGAAGAGAGTAACATGGATTACGTAGCAGGCATTTACGCTGAGCAAAGGGAACTAAGATCTCGGGCAGAATGCACTGGGTGTTTCCACCAAGCAGATATACTCTACGACATGCCACAGAGACCTCCGCTCAAACAGTTGGCCTTTTCCAGTGTCTTCTAAGGCTTCACAAAAACCTCAATTCTTGTAACATTGGTGCTGCTATTTCACTTCTGTTAGCTGGGGCTGCTCATCAAGACAGGCTTTGTTCTTTAGAAGGCAGAAGGTCAGCTAACTGGTCATGCAACATACTGGGATGATTTGTAAGCCCCAGGGTGTGCGGCTGGAGGAACAGTTTGCATTTTTTGCCACAATATCTTCCAAGACGGATCCAGAAAGAAATTTGAGTTCTTTGCTGAAGACAAAGGACAGAATGCTCAGAAGGGGGAAAAAGAGGAACAAGAGGAGAGGAAATTTAGGATGAAGGTTGCATCATTCTATACAGTTCCTTGGTCTCAGCAACACAATGTTTCCAATACATGTCTGTGTTATTCTGTCACTATCTTGAAAGGAAGCCCAGAAACAGGGAGACAGCAGCCCGCAATAGCTTAATATAAGCTTTGAGAGACACATTTCACAGAAAAATATAAAGCATAATTATGTTGCCTACATTAATATCTGTTCTACAGAAGTAATGATTTGCTGCTCCACTGCTTTCTAGAGCTCAGAAATGTTACCTTTTTTGAACTCCAACACTCACCCACCCCCAGTGGTATCTGGACGATTCTGGGCATACTAGTCTGTAAAAACAGTGTTTCCAAGTTCTGTTTCTTTCATTAACCCAGTGGCGCAATGCATTAAACCCTTGTGCCGGCAGGACTGCTGACCGACAGGTTAGTGGTTTGAATCTGGGGACAGCAGGTTGAGTTCTCTCTGTCAGCTTCAGCTCCCCATGCAGGGACATGAGGAAAGCCTCCCACAAAGATAGTAAAACATCAAACATCCAGGTGTCCCCTGAGCAACGTCCTTGCAGACGGTCAATTCTCTCACACCAGAAGCGACTTGCAGTTTCTCAAAAAAAAATTAACCTCCTAATGATGTTCTTGGAAAACTGGATGCAGTAAAGGCTGCAGACCCACTTAAGCCCTCCCCAAGATGATTTAGACCAGGGGTCCTCAAACTTTTTAAACAGAGGGCCAGGCCACAATCCCTCAAACTGTTGGAGGGCCAGATTACAATCTGAAGGGGAAAAAAGCGTGAATGAATTACTAAACACACTGCACATATCTTATTTGTAGTGCAAAACACACTTAAAAACAATAAAATAATTAAAATGAAGAACAATTTTAACAAATATAAACTTATTAGTATTCCATTGGGAAGTGTAGGCCTACTTTTGGCTGATGAGATAGGATTGTTGTTGTTATTGTGTGCTTTCAAGTAGTTTCAGACTTAGGTTGACCCTGAGCGAGGGCCAGGTAAATGACCTTGGAGGGCCGCATTCAGCCCCTGGGCCTTAGTTTGAGGACCCCTGATTTAGACCCTTCCTGTCATATCAAACAAAAAATTAGGACTTGTTACATAGGAATCAGAGGAAAAGTAACAATATCAATGGCTTGTGAAATTTGACCTGTATAGAAAAAATATGTTAGCTGAAAAAAAATGAAAGGCTAATAAAAAAAACTTTTATTAGACAACAAAAATAAAAGCCTCACAGTTAAAACTGATTTTTTGTCCTGTCCAGGGGAGGCTACAGTTTCCAGTGACTCATACCCAAAGAACCTGAATTTTCTCTGCACCCACAGAGACAGAGTGTGCAACCTTCTCAACCCCACCTCCCTACCCAGCAGATAAGACCACCCTTTGAAAGGTAGTCCAGCACATGGACACTGATCTCAGTGTATTTTCTTCATATGTCTGGAAAGTGAGGCCCTCATGCCAAAAAACAAGGTCTGGGCCCTGCTGTGGGAGCTCCAGGCCCTCTGAAGCAGAATCACAAGAGTTCAGTTCTGTGCACAATCTAGAACTGTCTGAATGGTCTGCTTCAAGATCTCCAGCAGCTGCTGCCCAGAAGAAAGTGACGAGTGCACATGAACAGCTGTGGATAGCTGAGGCTTGCCCCTGGAAACGCCAAGGGGGATTCTTCTCCATCCAATAGGAGGTGATTGGTATTCCTGTCTGTGGCTTGCTCACTTCCTGATCCACAGAAAGTAACCTACACTATCATTAACAAGACCTTGCAACTAGCCAAGTGCCCGTGCTATCAAAATAGGGGAAGGACCCAAACTATCCTACTGCAGTTACCAGATGTTGCTAGGACTTTTCCAGCAACAGCAGTAAAATTCAAAATGATTTTGTGCAGCAGAGGTATGGAAGTAGTCCAAGAACTGCTCTTTCAATCCAGCAGGGACAGAAACAGCCCAGTCAGATTTTCCTTAACTCACTCCAGCACCTCAAGCACAGTCTTCCGGAGAGCAATTGAGAACATCTCTTCCCAGGGCACACGCAGCCATTCCACCAGCTCAGCCAAGAGGTCTGGACACTCTGTTCGCAAGTGCCAAGTGCTCTCCACTTTTAGGACCTGCAGAGGAAAGGGCAGAGGTCAGATGATCTAAACTTCTACAGATGCCACATACTACCAAAATGAATGGGTCCTAGTACAAATCAAGACTGTATCTTAGAAGCCAAAATGGGTATCACATTTTGGCCATATCACGAGATAACATAGCTCATTTGAAAATATGAGAATGCTCAATAAAGTGGGAGGCATCATGAAATGAGGAAAACCACAGCTTTGAGCTTGGAGGGTTTGAGCAGGCCTGCTAACAATAGGGTGTCTTGGAGGTTTCTCATTAGTATACTTAAGAAAAGTTGAAGCAGAATTGACAATTGCAAATGACGAAATATACTATGTGATTAATTTAATTTAGTTTAACTGTTTGCAACACCAGTGGAACTTCTGGATCCCAAATTTTACTCTGTTCATATATTAATACTGTAATCTGTGTGAATACACAATCCATAAATTAAAGGACTGAAGAGAAACAGACAGGCAACAATGCTCTTGTTTCCACAAACTGTACTTGCTTGGTCCCCCTTCCGTTCAGTATATCAGGGACCACCTCTAATTCTGTTACTTACCTCATCATAAAGCTGCAGTTTTACATCACAAGGGGAGAAACGGTAAAGCACAACGCCACTGATGCTACTGATTGGCTCACTCTCCTTCAGATGAAAGCTATCCTTCGGCTCAGTGTCACTGTCTGAACTAGAGGAAGGTGAGTCTTTTTGCCATTGGTGATCTTCTTCCACCAAGAAAATGTTGCTATGGGTGCTGAGCAAGGTCACAGGAAAGGCAGAAGCCCCTGAGAAGAAGAGAGGTGTCCTTATAAAACAGCCCAAAAGCAAGCACAGAATTCTCTTATTGTGGCTGGAGAACCAATAACAACCCCAAGAACTTTCCATACCTTGGATGAGATATGCCAACAGATAGAAGAAGGGTCTGGCTGAGCCACCTGCAGCTTCTTTTGCTAGGTCTTTGTCAATCAGAGACCTAGGAGACAGCCACAAATGACTGGAATGAGACTGCCTGTACATTCATTTTCAGTTTATTGAAGGCCATCTTGAACACACAGATTAAGTGCCAATTTCAAAAACAAAGTTGCTTCAAATCAGCTTAGGAAGTTGATAGGAGAAATTCAAAGTACACAGCTAGTTGAACTATGACTTTTCTGACTCAAGATAAGTCAGCTTCCAATGCCCCAATTGCCACCCCGCACTACTTCTTTTACAAAGCTTGAATCTCCACTGCATCTCCTTAAACATCATGCCAGCACCAACTGTAAGGTAAACCCTTATTTTTATTGACTGAAGACTGACAGGTTGGAGGTTCGAATCTGGGGAGAGTGCGGATGAGCTCCCCCTGTCAGCTCCAGCTCCCCATGCTTCCCACAAGGATGGTAAAAATCAAAACATCTGGGTGTCCCCTGGGCAACATCCCTCCAGACGGCCAATTCTCTCACACCAGAAGCAACTTGCAGTTTCTCAAGTCGTTCCTGATATGGAAAAAAACTGTTCAAATGCAACAACACTCTTACCACAATGGATGCTGGGGGTTCATTTCCAGAACAGTAACATCTGGGATATTTCTCTTGCTTTTGGCTGGCAATTCCTGTATGAGTTCTGGATAAAGACATTGAAAGAAATCATTGTGTGACTAAATTAGAAGAAGGGTCTGAACTGTTTCCTGTCTTCCAGGGCTAAAGTTTCAGCCGGGAAGGAGCAACCTCTGCGTCAAAGTTATGTGCTGCCAATAAAGAAAAGTCTTCCTTCACAATAACCCTAACAAAAGACATAGCTCACAGCATACAAGGAGCAAAGCAGCCAAGACTGCAGAAAGCCACTAATCTAAAAGTAAACAGAAGGAAGCACACAGAAGAACAAAGAAAAAGTCATATTACTTCGGTTTCAAATCAATTGAACTTTGGTGCCAAAGTCATCATGACTGTACCCACTGCCAGCACTTGGCTAGCCGGCACTGTATCTCAAGCCACTTTTAGGCTGACATTTTTAAATCCCCGTGGCAGAAAACCAGTGAAATAGCTGTTGGCTGGGTGGGCTTATTAACAAAAGACCCTCCACATAAATGTACAGCAGAGTAACTTATTAGCAGAACCAGTAGCCACAAGTGACAAAAAGAATAAAAACACAGAGACCAGTGTTATCTCTTCCAAAGGAAGTTTTTCTTTATAGCAAAATAATATGGTTGCACTATTTACAAGAACAAGGTTTCCATAACCCGAACATAGTTATTTACACTTCCTTCTTTGCTTCCATACTGGGCTCCTTTCTCATGCAGATAAACATCTTTGCTTCACACACAATTGCCTTCAACCTGGGGCTTCTCTCACCGAAGCTTCTCACACACCAGGCCTACTCACACCGAGGCCTACTTCATACTGAGGCCTTTCTCCCACAGAGATCTCTCACAGACTGGGGGCTCCTAAGCCTACAGGCACATCTGCTTATATTGAACTGCAGCTTTTGCTGAGTCATTGCATCCATTTAACCCTTTCAGTGTTTGACTCACATTTTTGTAATTTAAAATACCTAATTAATATTTAATATTTTTGTCAATAACCAGATCTTCTAATCCAGTTTTGATATGTATTTGCTCCATCTCAAAGTAAGGGAAGTTTGTGCATAAATGGACATAGCCTCAAACGCCATCTTACGTGTCAGGCACTGGAGGAAGCGTCGGCAGCGGCTCTGGTTGCGAAGCAGCAGGTTATAGGAGGCAGAAGGATTCACAAACTCCACATGCAAGCTCTGGTGGCACAGTCCTACCTCCAGGCAAGAGAGGTTAGATAGGCAGTGGCAGTCACCCTTCTTCAACCAGTCAGATGGCTGTCCCCTAGCACAGATAAAACAATGTAAGCCTCCACTTACAAAGATGGGGAGCCCATGTCACCCAGAAGAATAAGGAAATAGATCAAGAATGCAGGGTGATTTGTAGTTGGTGAGGAACAGAACGCCTGCTCCAGTATGAACCCATCCTTACAGTGAGGTTGTCTTTCAAACCTCTCCCACAAGTCCTCCAAATTCTAAGGCATTTAAGTGGAATTTGACCTCTGCTCAAGAGCACAGTGTGCATAATGGAGGATAGTGGAACTGAACAGTGTCCAATTTAGAATAGCTATGTGTGCAAGTCTAATTATTTTCATCAGTCTCCTGGGTATAAAAATATTCAAGATGTGTTACGTCTGGAAGCTGGGCAGAAATGAGAACTACCTCAAAATAGTACATCTCACCTTATCTCCCCTTTAACCTCCAACACATGAAGTTGAACATCTGAACACACCAGGAGTGCCTGGAACTCCCCTGGCTGGCCATTTTTCACTACAGCCACCTAGATAGAGAATGACAGAAGATGGCACCTTCTCAGAGACATAGTGCCTCCAAAAACACTGCTATTCCAACCATTACTACACAAAAAGGCCAGATCCGGCAGACCATGACGTATCAAGGTCATGAGAACTGTTTCCCATACCTTGAGAAAGCATTTGAACTCTTCTGCCTTGTCAAACACTTCCATGTCCAAATAAAGCTTTAGACGATGGTCCACAGAAAAGAAGTCCCGCATGCTCAACAGACTGTTGGTTGCTGGGTTGGAGGAAGCAGCAGAGTTAGCAATGTTCGGCTATCAACAGCATCATTTGAACTTTCATCTGGGAAAACACAGCTGTCGCCCTAACAGGCCTGAGCCTGCTGCAATTACATTACACTTTCATCACGAGTCAAGTTTAGAACATTTCTCAATACAGAGAATGAAGTGCAGCATTTGAATCATGTGGAATCCATTCAACTAAAGGTGACACAAAGTTGTTTTTTTTAATTTTTAAAGGCAAAGCTCTCTCTTCTGGAGCGTACATGCCAGCTGACTCAGCCTAAGTCAGAGAAACCACAGGAAATATCTAGAGCAGACATGGGCAAACTTTGGCCCTCCAGGTGTTTTGGAGTTCAACTCCTACAATTCCTAACAGCACCTGGAGGGCTGAAGTTTTCCCCATGTCTGCTCTAGAGCAATAGATTTCCATGCAGAAGTTTGCAAGGGGGCTGCATACAGACCATCAAAAAACTCCCTTTTTATATTATGCAGCTATTCTATGATCTTCCTCAGGCTGACTGTTCTTCCTTGTCCACACATGGAGCATAATAATAATAATAATAATAATAATAATAATAATAATAATAATAATAATAATAATAATAATCTTTATTTATACCCAGCCACCATCTCTCCAATGGGGACTTGGGGCAGCTCTGAGTCCTCATTTCTGAGGGGACTCAGAGAGCTGGGAAAGATAGTCCATAGCAACTTGGACTATCTTAGGTACATCAATATTATCTTTCTTATAAATGCAATAGGATAGCACTGCTACATTAACTGCAGAAAAAAAAATCAGTTGTTTTCTCTTGGTTCCTGCTTAAACTCTCATATTTAACACTTTAAAGCACTCTCTTGTCTCTGACCGATCAGCATTATTCCCTTCTCCACCTTGCAAGTTTCTCTACAAACCTCAATGACCCTGCTAAGCTGTGCAGAAGTTTCTCACATCACATCCTTTAGTCTCTGGGATCAACACCATTTGTTGAGTACCGCAATGAAAAAAGAAATAAAACAAAAGGCATACTTTTCACAACAGTTTACACACTAAGGGCCTTTCTTTTCACCCCAGGCAGAAAACCAGATTTCTTGCGGAATTTATTCTGGCTCACTCATAGACATAACTCTACTGAAGGAATGCCCTGTTTGCATATTCAACACTTCCTGCCCTCTCCCTTACATCTGTCTCATTTATGGGTGGTTTACATATCTACACATAATAAGCATGGTCCTTGTTCCTTGAAATCTCAGATCAAGGTAAGTGACATGGCTCCAAATGGCTGGAAAATCTGGAAGCAATTCCACCTCCATCTGTGGTATCTATGTACAGCCCCAAGATATTCCCTAATGATGGCAATAAGCCAGGAACAGTCAACAATCTACAATCCTCTCAAAAAACCACCTACCACCTGCTATACAAGCTAGAGTTTACCCAATCCTTTGGCTGTTGTCACATCTTTTCAGCACTGGTAGTGGAAGCACAGCTGTCATTAAACTTCAACAGTGATTCACACATCAGTCAGCAAGACCTTTGGCTGCTTTCAAAATGGCAATTGAAAATAATTGAAAGGCACTTAAAATACTAACCATACAACACCTCTAACAATCAGCAGGTGGAGCTCTTGCCTTTCTCCTGCAACAAAATATTCCTCCATTTACAGAATAAGTAGGCCACCTGGTTGAATATGCTATGTGGTTAAAAATTCTAGTTCTGGGTAGAATAGGCTTCCTATTTCTTCGTAATCACTATGCACAGGCCCTTCAGCCTTAGAGTCCTTCCCATGCCAAGGCTCACCCTTGTAGCAGCTGCCTAAATCTACTCACGAGGGCTCAGGTTCCAGTGCTCCTCATGCTCTGAGCTCAGAGAGAGCTGAGAAGGGGTGGCTCCACGAGATGTACTATAATGATAGCTCCCCAGTAGGCTCCCTCCATTGGTGTCTGTACGGCTGAAGGAAGAAAATCGCCTCTTGGAGTTCAAATCCCTCTTACTCGCGTCTGTTCCTTCGGAGCTGCGGGAGCTGGAATGTGCACTCAGCTCTTGAATTTGGGTACTGGAGCTAGTCCCAGTTTCAGAGTTATTATCATCACCAATGTAGAACTTCCCTGATTCTGGCTCCTGCTGGCTTTCATCAAGGCCATCTTGAGGAAGCAACAGCGTGCTGGGCCGTGTTTCGCAGGGTAAGATAATCACATGATCACTTGAGCAGCTAGGGCAGATGATGGGCTCACTGGAAGAAGCAGCATCTAAAGAAAAGAAGGAAGACAAGCTCACCCACATCTGGGTACCACAGTCCTTGAGCCAAGCAAGTAAAACACCAGTCAGGTCCCAAGGTCTAAAGCAGTCTCAAAAACCATGTGCCACTCCCACTTCAAGTTTCCACTCTTACTTTTCCTAAGAAAGTTTCCACACCCATTTATTGACCCTTTTGTCTCAAGCACTTTTGTCAACAGAGGGGCTAACTATACCAGAAACTGTGCTATAAATCCTTCATAATTATTTCCTACAAACTTTCATATTAATTTCCTACATTTTATCCTTTGGTGATAAAATCAACAGCGGCTAACCGTTTCCCTCTCCTCAAAGGAATTCACTGAAAGTGCTCAGGCAATGACCATTGTCATGCTGGCCACATGACCTAGGAGGCGTCTACAGACAACACCAGCTCTTCAGCTTACAAATGGAGATGAGCACCACTCTGCAGAGTCAGACACAAATAGACTTAATGTCAGGGAATACCTTTTTAAAGCATCCTTTGAGCCAAGAACTCACTGCAGAGTCGCTTACCCCACTCCCCCTTGCCATGGCTCCAGCGGTTCAGAATTGGACCTGTACTAGTAACTCATACCTTGCTCTGTGAAAGTGTCAATTTCTTCAGCAGGGCCTGCACTTTGCCACCCAAGCAAGTGCCCTGGAAATTCCTGCTTGCATTTCAGACACTGAAGTTTCGAGCCTCCCTTCTCCTGACTTCTGTTTTTCCGGTTTTTCTCCAGGATTGGTGTCAACACTTTGAGTAATTTCTAAAAAGAGCAACAGGGCAAGGGCAGAATGACATGAGGCAACAGCAAGAGTCCTGCCACCTTAGCCATTGATAGGGAGCACAAGAAGGCAGAGGGCACAGAAATAAGCATTGCCCTTCTTTCACTGCTGATCAGCAGCAAAACCAGAACAGACAGAAAAGAAATACTTTTCAGGCAAGTCATAACTTCTAGAATCTACTGCTTCAAGGTGTGATGACCAAATCTAGCTAAAAAATGAACAAAAAAATATTCACAGCAGTTACTAACACAATGTCTACATGGAGCCTCCAAGTTCAGAGGCTTCATCCCCCTGAATGGCTGAAGATGGAAAGGAACAGCAGGAAAGGTTCCTGACCTGCTTGTGAGCCTTTAAGCCACGTGGTTGGCCACTGTGAGAAGCAGGATGCTGGGCTATGGTGGGTGATTTCACTAATCCAATAGTGCTTCTCCAAAGACAAATAGAGATTCATCCGTTCTCATTTTAGAAACAATAAAATGTAGCCTTCTCTGTAGACTTGAGTAGCTAAAGCCATTGCTACATTACAAACCCACATTGGCCACTCCTCCATTTCATTCCGGTATGCTCTCACCTGTACACAAAGTTCAGGTTGGTCATCAAGCACGACATAGCGACGCTTCTGGCGGTCCTTGCAGATGTAGCTGAAGTGCAGGGTGAGAACTGGAAAGACACGCTCCAGATCCTACAAGGAAAAGGAAGGTTTCCAATCAAAACAAATTACAGATGCCAATGAAAGCCGCTCTTGTCTTCCCACCCCCATCTTCATTAGACATTGTCATGAACAAAGATCACTCACTGTTCATAGTACAGAGTACGTGCAAGAAGACATCTAAACATACCTCTATGGGCTAGCCTAAACTCTGTGTTTATTAACAATTACACAGAACCAGAACACGTTTGTTTGTTTGTTTGTTTTTTTGTTGATTATAAGAAAGGCAAAGAGCTACAGAGAGCCATCAAGCTCCATCTTAATCTCTGGATGCCTCACATCACGGCCTTTCCCCCTGCTTCTGTGATTTCATTCAAGCAATCCCTACATATTTCCAAGGTCATCCTCCCAACCTCACTGACTAGCAACTTACCACAAACAGAAATGGAAATCTGCATCTAGTGTCTAAAAACATTTGCATGGCAGAATGGATACCCTCAACTTGCTTCTGACGCGATAAATAAATGAATCACAGAATGGAAAGTATGCTCTAGGAAAAGTGTGAATAACTGTCAGGGCTGAGAGAGAAACCTTATCAAGCAGGTGCCATAGACCAAACAGTGCCCCAAAGGAGGAAAAAAAAAAGATGATTGGATGTGCACCTCCAGTTTTGATTTTTCCTCATCTTGGGAATATATATGAGATTTCTCTCAACCCTATCTCTCTAAATGCAAAAATCACTGTACTTGGAGGCTTCAGTTTTACAATTTTTTCCTGACACTAGGAAACATCAAAGGGGTCAAAAAACCACAGGCTGCAACAATGGCCGCTCCTGCCAGAAGATGGGAACAGACAGTTCAAAAGGCACAAAGTATGTCCGCTTTGAAGATACTGCAGTGGGGCAGAATTTTAACATGCAAATAAGCAATGACACAGGCAAGTCTCTAAGGGGACATTTATATCCTAGTGCAAAGCTGCTCTGTGTGGCCAGTTATTTCCACAGTTGGATTCACAGTGAATATTGGATGGAACTGAGATGTGTGTTCACCACATAGTAAAAGATAATTATATTTTTCACATGTTCTTCCCGAAAACTGGTGCTTATACTTTTGAATAATGCCCAAGCAAATGAGCAAACTACACAGGGGTCAGAATACTAGAAATTGCCTTTCCCATAGAAGCAGCCACAGCTTACCATCCTTTTCCAGGGAATTTCTGAAGTCTCTACTTTCTCCAGGCTTTGCAGCTCCAGCCTGTGTAGAACCCTGGCTGCTTTCAGCTCCACCTCCATGACATGCCGGCTAGTAACTCGCAGGAAGATCCAGTCTGGTTCTGGGTCACAGTCACCTTCTATCTGACTAACCAACATTGGCTGGCAGAGATCCACTGTCAGGACAAACACGAGTATTAGCCTAGGTCAGCTTCAGCCTCTACAGCCCTAGCAACCATGACAATCTTAAAATCCTGTATTTTTGAAGAGAAAACCTACAAGAACAACAGGGTTGAATAGCTCATAGACCAAGTATGGGTAAACTTTGGCCCTCCAGGTGCTTCGGATTTCAACTCCCACAATTCCCAAAAGCCTACCAGCTGTTAGGAATTGTGGGAGTTGAAGTCCAAAACACCTGGAGGGCCGAAGTTTGCCCATGGCTGCCATAGACAATACAGAAAAGTAAAAAGCAAGTGATTGAAAGAATAAACAAGAGCAGATCCAACACTTTAATTAAACTATATTGTAGACCCACAGACCCACCCTCCAATATCTGTATCTTTAAAAAAAGGTTGTTTATAAAAAAACCATACCTCACATCTTAACTGCTTCACACACAAAAACTCCTCTGCTACATCCTTTGAATCATTATCTCCTTTGTTTTCAAATCTAGCACTCCCTTTAGCAAAAGTATTTCCAAGGCCAAAAGTCGAGTAGTGGGTCGCCTTTGCTTAGCATTGATTAGCAGGATTTGTCCAATTATTAAAGGGTTCTTTTTTTTTTACTTTGTAACTGCCAAATTTCCCATGCTTTCTCGGTGTATTCTTTAATACATATTTCCCAATATGGATTTGAAATTTTAGATGGGAGTTTAACAAACTCTAAGGGAGACTTCCCATTCTCCAGCCCACTTCATCCATGTTTCTGAGATTTAAGCCAAAGGGAAGTGAACTGGGAGAGGGCCAACTGTGGCTTGACTAACTAATTATTGAAAACGTAAGGGTTTTGAGTAAGGAAGCATACTTAGGCTTGCCCAGAGTGTGTGATGACAGCTTTAAAAAATAAAGTAAAATAAAAGCTGGATCACACATCAATTGGCAATGAAAGATGCATAGTTTGTTCATTGCAATGATGATGAAAGCAAATGATTTTTCTTGCAGAATCGCATCATGATCCCCAAATGTTGGAATTAGGATATTTTGAGATTAGACTGAAATCCCAGCTAAGGAAACCTGCAGGTGTCAGCCACTCTTAGATTAAGCCTCCTCCCAGGATACATGATCACTATGAATTTGTTTGAGGAAAAGCTGTAATGCATAATGCTAGCAGATACAAAGGAAACATTAAGCACAACAAGCAGATGGAGAGGAAACATTAATCACAACAAGCTACGAAGAGATTCACCAATATGTATGCAAAAATACAGTGAACCAGACCAATTCTAATCGAGTATATTACATACGAAGCATTCGTTGGACATGAGTGGGAGAAAGGAGACACAGAAACAGAAAGAGCCAAACTGGCTTTTTAACAACAAAAAAACCAACAGCTTACAATGCCACGCTTTATTAAAAACCGTGATATTCAAAAGGCAAATAAGACTAGACAAGCACCCTTTGTTTTAAAAAAGACTGTGCTGGTCTTTCAATGTGATCCACACCACAAATACACAATGTACCATTTTATATGCCAGATGGAAATTTGCGTGATCGCCATCAGCTTCCGTATTTTCTGGTTATGCACTTGGTTTTTAATTTTGCTTATTTGGGAAGTTACAGGATTCTGCCATTATCAATTAGGGAAATAATGGAAATCAGATTTAAAAACAATTCATTAGGTATACATAAATAGAGACCTAGTACACAAAGAGAGAAATATCAGCACTCAAAGGAAGAGGCACAGACTGGAATTCCCATCTAGGCAACAGTCCTTCCAGTGGCAGGCTAAAACCTTTCTATTCAGGTAGGCTTTTAAAGATGAAGGTTTGTATGATCAATTCAGGGGGTGCTGTGGTTTTAGCTTTGAATACTCATCAAATATGTTTGAATGGTTTTAACTGTGAATCTTTTAATATTGTTTATATTTAATTCTGTTTTGTTAATTGTATATTTTAATATTTTAAATACTGTGATAACATTTTATGTTAAGCTGAGTCCCCTTCAGGGGAGATAAAGTGGGGAATAATAATAATAATAATAATAATAATAATAATAATAATAATGTTGCAACTGGAAAAGCTTACATGATATAAGGATTTAAAGATAAAACTGCGAAGACTGGCACAACCCAGTAAAAGTGGTCCCAGTGGTGATCTGCACACTGGGTGCAGTGCCTAAACACCTTGGCCTGCACTTAAAAACAATTGGCACTGACAAAATGCCCATCTGTCAGCTGCAAAATGCCACCCTACTTTGATCTGCATGCATTATTCGCTGATACATCACACAGTCCTAGACACTTGGGAAGTGTCTGATGTGTGATCAAATATAAAAGTCAGCATAGTGATCTTGTTTGCGGTGTACTAATCTTGTTGTGTATTGAATAATAATAATAATAATAATAATAATAATAATAATAATAATAATAATTCAACATGGCTGGGACGCTTAACCTCAATTATTGCAATGGGATTAAAATATATACAACTCCATGACAAACAATGGCTCAATTTTATGAGATTTTGAGAGAAACCACTTTTAGGTTCTCACATTTTTCCTACAAGAAGGGCCTGATGTAGGATTTCACAAGACATCTGATGGGGATGATTCCAAGAAGCATTTCCGAGATTTTCCTATGGAAGTATCACAGACTTGATTCTTTGATGAGATCCAAGCTGATTTCTAGGTAAGCTACCTCCACTAAAGAAAGTACAACTACTTAGGCAAGCTCAAGCACTGAAATGGTTAAGATGAGGACAGGACTCAGCAAACACAAGTGCAAAGGGCTCAAGCCATAAGAGAAATAAGCTGCAAGAAAGCTAAGACTAGGAATACTACAGACAGCATGCTTGTTGACCCAGTCCTTGAGGTGATCCTCCAGAGAGGGTAAATGTCCACCGCCTCTCACTTACCCATAGAAATGGAAAGTGGCCCAGGAGGAACACCATTTACCTTCCAGTTTTTCCTCCTGTTCTTTATCTTCTTTAGCTGCTGGCACATCTGTGCCTGTTGTTGCTCTGGGACATTCCACCACATTCTCTTCCTGCAGCAGGTCCAGGTCCTGGTCTTTTCCCTCAGCAGTATCAGGGATCTTCTCTGGTACCAGGCTCTCACTCTGCTCAGAGGCCTCACTTGTGTTGCCAGGGGATTCCACTGTGGGGCTGCCAGAGGGAGTAGCAGGCCCGGCCTGTCCATCAGCTTCCAGGTGCCGCCGATACTGAAGCCAGTGTGCCCCAAAGCGATCCCGGAAGCTGTCCATACGCTCCATCTCTGCCTGGTGCTGCCGAACTATACCTGAAGGTAGAGAGAGAGAGAAAGACCCACAAAATTTGCAAACTGTTTCATGTGTGCCCAGTCCTAGATAATGGTTCCATTATAACTTCCATCTTACCCGCAGAGAGGGGCAGCACTCTGGTCTCATGTTCTGTATCACTGGGCTCCGAAATGCTGGCCCTGCGCACTTTGATCTTCCCCTGAAAGATAGACAAGCAGTATGTAGAGCCTGAAAGTAACTCTTTCAGACTCTAATTGAATGTCCTAAGTTATCATAATTGTTCCACATCTCTGGACGAAAGGCCTTATAAAAAAGAGTTTGAGGTTTTGGTATGATTTCAGGTTGCAATTAGAAACAGCAATAATAATAATAATAATAATAATAATAATAATAATAATAATAATAATAATGGGTGTAGTGCCCAAAGACCTTGGCCTGCACTTAAACACAATCAGCGCTAACAAAATTATCATCTGTCAGCTGCAAAAGGCCACCTTACTGGGATTTGTGCGCATTATTCGCCGATACATCACATAGTCCTAGACACTTGGGAAGTGTCCGACGTGTGATCCAATACAACAGCCAGCAAAGTGATCTCGTTTGCTGTGGACGCATCTTGTTGTGTTTCAAATAATAATAATAATAATAATTTTATTTGTAACATGCCACCATCTCCCTGAAGGGGCTCAGGGCAGCTCAGAAAAGCACTTTGAAGTGCTGCACATAGAGCAAGCTTATGAAACAACAATATTAATCTAAAACAACAAACACACCTGTAAAGTGGTAGGGATGTTCCCCATTCCTACCACTTCACATAACACAACAGGAAAATGTTTCTAGGATGCTGCATAACCCCTCTTAGTTTATTATTAGAGATCTTACAGCATAACGTGTATGTTCCAGCAAGAGTATAAAGTGAAAGGCCTGATCCAGTCTTCTAGCAGGTGAACACATGGCATTAATGTCAGAATAACTTATTTTCTCTCTCCCAGTTCATGCTTGCTCTGAAACCTAAATACTCCCCATAGAAACACCACCTTAGATCTCCTCTGGGAGGGACGTCTTGCAAATTTATTTTCTCCAGGGGATTGGCTGTCACTTTGGTCTGCGGCACAAGAACTTTCCAGGGCACTGCGGTCTGCCAAGGCCCTCTCTGAGGCTGGAGTGTAGAGTGGCTGAACAAAAGTTTGATCCAGTTTGGAATGATTCTGAAAGACAGAACAAATCCTAAAGAGGTAAGGTGGCCAAGTCAAGATTTGTTTTTACATGTAATGTTCTAAATTTCAAAAAAATCAGCAAAATGAGCAATTACACATTCATTGTTTACAACTCTTTCAATATAATATTAGTTGAAAGTAACAGTCAATTCATATTTACAAAGCACTTTTCAAAAAATTCATCATAAATCTTGGGAGCATTTGACTAATAAAGTGAACACCAAGCAGCTAAACCTTTTCTTAGTGAACAAAATGTATGACTGGCGTTGTGTTAACTCTAGGATACATCTATGATGAGATTGCTTTCAGTAATTACAATCCCTTGGGGAAATAGTAATAATGTCTTCCCCTACTCACCCGCAGGTCAGAGACAGACAGTGGCTCCTCATCAAGAAGGAACTGGTAGAAGAACAAAGCATGGTCAGTAGGATATCAGCACCCCCATCTCTTTGTCACTCATCAACAAACCTTCCAGAAAAGCTGTTTACCAAAATTGGATACAGAATTCCCTGTCAAAATGGTAGATCAGGTACTTGAGTTTGGCATGATCTCTTAATCATGAGAATACAAAGAGACTGTGGCAAACAATCAGAAGGGGAATGGGTAATTACATGCACTCTGTGGATGAAATCCTACATCAGGTTTGTGTAATGCAAATCGACTCAAGCAGATTTAAGATCTAATTTTGCGACATAATCATTGTGGTGAATGCCAATGTTGCACAATGAAACATGCAACTGAGGGAATTATTACCATTTATTCACCAGGGACAGATGGACAAGAATCTAATGAGAATGGGCCACTATATAAGAAACATCACCACACGTATTTCTCTGATCTTGAACAGGGAAGCTACATACATCACAAGAAAAGCAATCACTTCCACGGAGGAATGTACATGTTTGCAATACTGACAGGATTCAAACCCTTGTCTTAAATATGCTGTTGGATAAATCCCACTATCAGCAAGCCTATCAGCTCTGATGTGAGCAGAAAACCTGAGGCATTCCAATCTGCCAGCCCTATGTTTCAGACAAAAAGGTACTACTCTCTGCCACAGAATATACACATACAATCACAATGGGGGGAAACAGACCCATGGCACTTATTAATGTATGAGAGAGGAGGGCAACTTTTAGAAGCTATGGCGGAATGCTGCCATTTACCCTACCACTAAGGAGCCATGGTGGTGCAATGTGTTAAACTCTTGTGCTGGCTGAACAGCCGGCCTGAAGGTTGGCAATTTGAATTCGCAAGACAGAGTGACTCCCGTTTGTCAGCTCCAGCTTCCCATGTGGGGACATGAAAGAAGCCTCCCAAGGGCTTCCCCTGGACAATGTCTCTGCAGACGGCCAATTCTCTCACACCAGAAGCGTCTTGCAATTTCTCAAGTCGCTTCTGACACAATTAAAAAAACCCTACCACTAGTGTGCTAAACGGCCAAAGGGTATGATTTGTCTCCCTTTGAACAAGACTTCAACTGTCCACATTATCATATTTTAAGGAGAAGTAGGCCCTTTTTGTTACTTTCATATTACACAGAAGCTGCACACAGCACAATGCTGCTATAGAGACCATACTCCCAGGACATACTTTGCAAAGGACAGAACAATTAAGAAAATGAAAATTAAGGATTTACACTGATAACTCTGGGCTCTCAGCACAAGGCATCAGAAAACTAAATGTTTTTAACTTTTTTTTGTTTGACTGTTCTTTGAACAATAAATCCCCCTTGTCATGTCATGAACTACTTTTGAAAATGCCCTCAGTCACCAAAGCAATTTGCAATAGGGGATTATTGCTGGACACAAAAGAGTTCTAAACTATACCCATTTCAGCAAATGGAATTATGTTTCATATAGAGCAGGTTTCTATCTCCTATCATGGTCTTAGCAGTAAGCAGTATTCACCACAAGGGGCAGCTGGAGACTGTCAGTTCTGCTTTTGGTCAGCACTGAAATTCAACTACCAATTTGTTTTGGGGAATAGAACACAGATTATCGTTAAGAGCACACAGTTAACCCAATGAGGGTCCCTGGTTCTTTCTAGTTACAAGATCAGGGAGCAAACTAAGATGCTACAGAACCCTTTCCATTCCATGTAGCACAAAATGGACTAGTTCCCAAATTTTGTTTTCTGTTAAGGGAGCTGGGAGAGCATATAAATTCCATGGGAAGCATGAAATTATTTATTATGTTGTTGCTCTTCAACTACCAACATTTCTTGCTATTGGTTATGCCAGTCAAGGGATACTGGACCATGAAGTCCAAACCTACCTAAAGGAGCACAGTTCTTATCCTCTGGGAAGATAGTTGGAAAGTGCTGACCCTTGGGAGTTATGCTTTGTATCAGAGATGTGAGAAACTTCTATGCTTTACTACATATACTCACATTGCAAGGAATAGCTCTAGGAGACAAGTGTGTTATTGTGGCCAATCGATGATTCTGATGGAACCATAAAGGATTTCCCTCCAGGTGCAACTGTAAGGGAAAAGTATGCATCTGTTTCATTATTTTTTTTAAAAAAATCATTGCATAAGCTGCGAAACCCCTGAGGTTTTCCAGCTTGCGGTACTATGGCGCAGACATTATTTTGTGTTTTGTGCCTTTGTTTTCTTTCCCTCTCCCATTCCCCTCTAATAATCCTATGAGATAAGTTAGTCTAAGAGACAGCAACAGGTCAAAAGTCATCCCTGAACTGAAATTTAAAGTCCTCTATTTCAAGTTCTAGTCCAACACTCCACAACCACCATAGCATTTGGCTGGCTTCTGGAATGATTCCCGTCCCAAAGAGTGACTCCACAGCCATGTTGGGTGTCAACAGAAATATAATTGTGATGACAGGCACCTAGGGGTTAGTGCCCTGAAATCACTGCTAGCAGAACCCTTTCTCCAGACATTTTAGAAAATTCTAGTGTTATGCAAACCCCATCATATCAATTTGCCCAAATCCCTAGTCAAAATGACTGCTCACTCTTCTCAAGTTGTGGAGCAAGGACAATGGCGCTAACAGAGAGTGCTCCAGCAGCAAGTTGTAAGCAATGTCCAAATGCTGAAGGCTTGGTAGCTGTTCCACACCTATGGAGAAGGAAGCCAGAGAAGATCAGAACCTTTCCCATCAAGGTGTGCTTCCCTGTAGTATCTTGCCTCTAAGTCTGTCTTTTTGGCCAGACTTCCTTTGTCAGCTGTCTACACTGTATAGTCTTACCATTAATATTATCAAGCTGGTTATACCGAAGGATCAGGGTCACCAGTTTAGCCTGGCTGTATAGTCCAAGGTCAGGCATCTTAGTCAAGAAGTTGTAGGCTACATTCAAGTATTCCAGCTCTGTCAATACCTGTTGAGGAAAAATGGCTCATCTATACATTTATTTCCTTTATTCACATTTTGTCTTCTGTAACATGCAAAACACTCTCAAAAGCAACTCATTTTGGCCAGTCAAAAAAGCAGAGCTCAAAACACTCTAGCTCATGACAGCACAAAGATTAGACAACTTGGCAGACACTCTCTTTATCTTAAAATGCTCAGAAGAATATGCCAGGGTTCCACATGACCTACACTTGCTCCTTGCCCAAGCAAGCATATGACAGTCACACAAAATATGTTGAATGAAATTAACTTCAAAGCAAGAGGAAACAGAATCCAATGAAGGCTGACTATTCCCCCAACAGGTAGATAGCTTCCAACCTAAAAAGCATTTACTGTAATTGCTAATTTGGCTGCTGATAGTTTACATTTCTTAGAAACTAGCTTCAAAATCCTGACAGGAAGGCAGGATATTGGTTTTAAACAAAAGTAAAAGCTTTAGGTGACAAAAACACTTGAACCAGAAAATATCTACTCAATAGAAAGGGAGAAAGGATAAAATGAGGGCAGCCTCTCCATATGAACAAGTGACTAAATTAATGGGGGTAGAGGAGTTGCTTACTGAGAAAAATATATACCTCACCTTGGAAAAAAAGCATGTCTTCCCGTCAAGCTCAGAAACAAATCCTTACATTTATCAAATGTAAAGTTAAAATTATCAGGCAGAAAAGGCAGTCTCTAATCCCTATTATTCTATCCACTACACCTATGTATTTCTGATATATGTTAAGCATTCCAAGAAGTCAACCTTACACAAAGAGCAGAACAAAAGAATCAGCAATCCAGCAGTACAAGGAAATATCCCTCAAATGCTGGTTAATTTTTTAGGATTTTCAGACAGAAAAGTTCTTGTAACTTCAACCCTCTCTAAGTGATGGCAATACCTTAGTATCTAATTTGCTTGCAGAAAAACCTATCTTGCTAGCAATTTTAATATACCGTTTTTTAATTTTATTTTTTGTTGTGTCAGGAGTGACTCCTGGTGTGAGAGAATTGGCTGTCTGTAAGGACGTTGCCCAGGGGACACCTGGATGATTTGATGTTTTTATCATCCTTAAAGGAGGCTTCTCTTATGTCTCCGCATGAGGAGCTGGAGCTGATAGAGGGAGCTCATCTGCCTCTCCCCGGATTCGAACCTGCGACCTGTCAGTCTTCAGTCCTGCTGGCACAGGGGTTTAAACCACTGCGCCACCGGGGGCTCCTTCAATATACCATTGAAGATAAAGGTATGATACTGTTGGGAAAAGAATCATAAGAGATAAGCATTACTATAAAGGAAGATTACTTTGACCAAGTAGTAATTGTGAAGTCTGGTTAAGACTTTAGACAGCAATGACATCATGAGGGGCAGAAGAAGTCAAGAAATGTCCAGGAAGCTAAGAACAGATATATTCCTGTAGGAAAACAGAACTCTAGCCTTTTACATTTGCAGATCCCCATTTCAGACTAACTGTGGCTTCACTGGACTGAGCCTACAATGAAAAGATGAGTACTCCCAAATGAAAGATTTTTTTCTCTCACAAAAACAGAAGTGTAACAGACTCCACAAAATGGCCAGAGTACAATGCACTGAGTCAGTCACAGGAGTGAAAGGGAAAAAGTGTATTACTTTACCAGTTAGCATCAAAAGTGTGGCACTTACTGTCAGGTAGCACTCGCAGTCCTGGATGAGATTGTGACTAATATCCAATGCCTTCAGCACATTCAGTAATTGCTTTACAGAAACAAGAAAAAGATATTAATGATAACAGCTACGACAAAACCATAGAACAGATTATCCCATGAAGAGGTCAAGAGTCACGGCACAACTGTGCTAAACCCAAGTTCTCACTGTACTTCATTATCAGAAAGAAAAAATAAGACTGCTACCAATAAGTGTACTATCACCCCCTGTTCTCATCTCCTTCCCTACCCCCACTAGCTCCTCCAACATACCAGTGAATCATCCAGGTTTGCAATGGAATTGTAGCTGAAGTTGACTGTCTGTAATTCTAGCCAAGGAAGTGCAGAACTGAGGTCCCCTCCACATTCAGAGAAGATCTCCTGCAGGAATAAAAGCATGTATATGGAAAGCGAATAAGGAAGAGTTGATCCAAGAGTGCATCTCTGTATCTGGACCTTCAGGGTTTTCAGCACTTGAACTAGCCCCAAAGCTGAACCTTGAATAATAGCTTGAATAACAGCAACAAATAACTACTGCCTATGCCCATATCCATGCTGTAATTGAAAAACGGGTTCCTTTTCACCAGCCAATTATTGCACCAAAAATTAATGATACAAGAACTAGCTAGTTTGCAATCCTATACTATTCTTACATATTTGCACAGGAACTGTTGAGAGCTCTGAATTTTATTCCCTTGATTTTTTTAAAAAAAACATAAAAATTACTCTTGACCCAACAATATAGTTTCCCCTAAGCAATTCTGTTTGGGTTAAAGAGGCTTACTGTGATCTAGCACCAGCCAGATCAGTAGTTCTCAACTTGTGGGTCCCCAGGTGTTTTTGCCTACAACTACAAGAAATCCCAGCTAGCTTACCAGCTGTTAAGTTTTCTGGGAGTTGAAAGCCAAAATATCTGGGGACCCACAGATTGAGAACCACTGGGCTAGATGACCCAATTTCATAATGAGTAGTCCCTTTCAACATCTGTTTCAATTAAGAATCTACTTTCCCATCTGAACATATCTGCCTGCCTCTTTCTGGCCTCGCTATCCACAAAGATGCAGACCACGTAAGTACCTCTCATGAATACAAGAAGACTGTTCAAGCTCTGTTGTTATTACAGAATCAGACATACATTCCTTCAGTATTCAAACCCAGGTTCTTAATTGATTTTACTTAAGGGTCACAGAATAATGGGTCAATGGTGCCACAACAATGCCATCCCTCCACATTCACTGGAGGGGCAAGAGGCACAAAACTATCACAAAGGTTATCCTGAGAAAACACTTTTCTAGAAATCTCTAGATCTTCCAGTGTAACTCTACTAGTTATCTTCTGCCAGTTGAGCTGGAGGACCTAGAAATTCCTAGAGCACTATGCTGGTGGACCTAGAAATTTCTAGGTTCACCAGCACAACTCTATGATCAACTTCACTCTGAGGTTGACCACAGAGTTGTGCTGGAGGATCTAAAGATTCCTAGACTGACTATATTGATCAAATCTATGACTAATCCAATCCACAAAAAATAAACTTGTAAATGTAACTGATTGTAATTTTAATTGTTGACAGCCTCTGAGGGTTTATTCCTTTTCAGATAACAGAAAACCCCACTGTAATAATTGATCCTGTAGCGGTGGTGGGGAACCTCCAGTCCTAGAGGTGGAAGAAGCTGTCCTGGAACCCCAGTCCATCTCCCCCAGCTTCTGTAGAAAGCCACACCTGCTTTCCCATGACCCCATTGTTTGCTGGCCTAGTTTTTGTTCAGGCTTTCTACCCCATTCTGAAAGACTGGAATGCCTCTTATAATAAGAGCTTTAAGCGAAAATATAGCTGTACTTTTGGTCCTACCCTTTCACCACCAGTGGTATCAGTGCTAAGAAAACATTCAGACTTAACCATTCTTTCTCCCAAAAGGGGGGAAAACAACCTAATGTTCATCTCCACTTACTTTCAGGGAACTCACACATTTGGAACAGGTCAAAGCCTCCAACTGGGAATAGATAAACCGTAAACCTTGCAGACAGTGTAAAGGAACACACTTCAGCTACATAAGAAAGCAGAATAGAAAGTACGTATAAACATTTTTTTTTTAAAATGACTCTTAAGCACAATTTTTTCTCACTAACAGTTAGTGAGAAAATTTTGCAGGTTTGCTCAAAGTTATGAAAGCTCACATTAAAAATCATAAATCTGTAATAAATTTAACAAAACTTACTTTAAATTACAGTGTAGTAAAATATTCTTGATTAATTAATATGAAAATCTTATCTATGTAAAAGTTCACTATAGTCTTATTTATTATCTGTATATGCTCCAAACAGAGTAGCTTCTCATGCTCATGAAAGAAACAGATGAAGGCATCTCTACCTCGACTGTAGAGGATCCTTGTAATAGTACTTACCTCTAAACGCCGCAGAGACTTGAAGGGGGAAATTTTCACAGCAGCTGACAGAGCATAATCAGGAACATGAATGAGCTATAAAGGAGAAGGAGGAAGAAGTCACCTTTATAATCATAAGCTACCATTAATAACAAGAGTCACTATTAAACTGTTTCAACTCCAATAGGTCATCTTCATTCTTTGCTAAAGATCTAAAATGCAGCCACCCCAGTCTGCAAACATTTATTTAGATCAAATTGAACATCCCAAAAGCAGGCATGAAAACTGTAAGTGAAATAATGAACTGTTACCAGACATTGCTGGATATGCTATATATGTGGTCACTGAGATTCCAGTAGTGAACGTCTGAATGAAGCAATATGCAATATGCTAAGAAACAGATGCACGGGTTATCAGAAAGTCCATTTCATAAGGTGTTTGAAGTGAACAACTGTGGAAAACAAGGAAGGAATATTAATCCTTTAGGAGACCAAAGTGTGTGTGAGTCCTCAAGCACCCTCTACAGGACATGGAAACATCCCTAGATGACATTTCAGCACATTATGTAGCAATTTTTAATTTCTGAAATTTTTAATTTTGATTCCAGAAAGGTCCAGGGAGACTCCAAACATGGGGAAGTGCATTCTACATTCCACTGGAGATCATTTTTGGATACTTTACAAAAACAACGTTGACCGTGAGATGTCTTAATGGACACAAAAAGGCTTTTGGGAGGTACATGTGGACTACAGGTTGCACTTTACTCACACCTGGATAGGAGTAATACCTACCTAAACATTGCTAGATATAGTAAGGTGCATTCCATACTCTCATGACACTCTAGATACAGAAGTCAGGAGATCTAACAGTAATTTCGGGAAACACTGCTCTGTGTTCCAAATAATTTATTTTCACCCCCTAGCCAATTTAGATATCAGCAATGGTGTTTGATTTCCAGTGACAGAAGCAGCAGAGGCAAGAGGTCTTTCTTCCTTCTAAGTTAGGATGCTTAAATCAACAATGTCTATTCTACAGTCTCCTTTTTAAAAACACAAACAGAATTGTAAAAATGTTAGAAAAGATGTATTCAGGAAGACAAGACTAAATAAATTAGTGACAGTGCTAAATACGATGGCCACAGATAGGACTAATTCTAACATTCATAAAACTAATGATGCAATTATATTTTGATAATTGTTAATTCTGGATACAATAGAGAAGTTTGCTGAGATCTTTGGCTATATGCTATGAAGTTTGCTGTATCAGTTGATGCATATCTGCACTTCATAATGGATTTCCAACATAAAAATTATGTGTACAGATATTTCTCAAAACATATTCCACAAAGTACTCATCTTGCACCTTCTAAATCCCTGTTGAGTTGACTCCTCTTTTCTACATCTCAATACTACAGAAAGAGTTTGCGGTCCCAGGGGTTTGAGAGATACTTCCATGTAATATTTTTAGCTATGTAAAAGCAGATCTAATCATTCTTGCTTGAGAGTAAAATAATACATAAAATGATACAACTGTCAGAGAATAACCCATTTTAAGTCTTTCTCTAGAAATGAAGCTCATTAATGGCCAAATCGTACCTGATTTTACCAATCCTTGACTGAATACCTACCTCTTGATTATTTAAAAAGTGTGTGTGTGTTACAAGAGCTTTGGGATTCCTGTTAAAATTCCTCCAGCTCTTATTTTCCTCATTAGGAGAACCTCAGATACATATATTTCTCGATATATGCAGCTGCTTTCTTTAAAAATCCTTGCCTAATTAACTGCTTCTTGTGCCTAAACTTTCAAAATGAAACAGAGAATGATGTATGACATGCATCATGTCCTTAAAGTCTGAAGGAATGGAATAAAAATAATTAAAACACAACTGTATAATGATAGTCAAAGTGAAGAACAATAGTGTATTTACTCAAATCTAATGCTCACCTTTTTTGACTAAATTAGCTCACCAAAATGAGGATGCGCATTAGATTTGCATAATACTAATCATAGTGTTGAGCCAAAGCAAAGGTGGAAGCTGATTCATTTAATTGCCATGTCTCAATGCTATGCAATTCTGAGATTTGTAGTTTGGTGAGGCACCAGCATTCTTGGCAGAGAAGGCGCAAGACCAGGGGTCCTCAAACTAAGGCCCGGGGGCCGGATGCGGCCCTCCAAGGTCATTTACCTGGCCCTTGCGCAGGGTCAACCTAAGTCTGAAATGACTTGAAAGCACACAACAATAACAACAATCCTATCTCATCAGCCAAAAGTAGGCCCACACTTCCCATTGAAATACTAATAATTTTACATTTGTTGAAATTGTTCTTCATTTTAATTATTGTATTGTTTTAAAGTGTTTTTTGCACTACAAAAAAGATATGTGCAGTGTACATTAGAATTCATTCATGTTTTTTTCAAATTGTAATCCGGCCCTCCAACAGTTTGAGGGACTGTAACCTGGCCCACTGCTTAAAAAGTTTGAGGACCCCTGCGCAAGACCTTGTAAAACTACAGCCCACATGATTCCTTGGCATTGAACTAAGACAAATTGAAGTGGATTTGTTCTAACACATAGATGAACCTTAAGGTTTTCCTTTCCTTTAAATTGCCAGAAGCTTTGATGATCTAACACTTTTGGTTTTAAAGAAGGAATTCTTAGCAGGCAGCAACTTAATGCACACTTTTTTGACTAAATTACGAGTGCATTTTTGTCATTGTGCATTACATTCAACAACCAATTTTTTTGGTCTAAAGGTTTTGAAAATCGAGGTGCACATTAGATTTGATGGTGTATTAGACTTGGGTAAATACACATAGCTGGACTCACAAAGCAGCAATACTGTTCTTTACTGTTCCGACAGTAACCCACTGTTCCCTTCTTCGAAGAACCATTCAAACTGAACTAAATGCAATTTGCACTGTGAAATCTAAGAACTGGGCTTACTATTGATGTCAACTTTTCACTTAGGTTGTTGGCTAAAACCCATTTTTTTAAACTGAACCAAACAAACTGCACTAGTAGATCACATCATTGTGACATGAGTAAAGTTAGAGTCTCACTCACAGTAGACCAAAACCACAAGGCTAAGATCTGAAAGGACTCAAAATCACTCTGAAGCCAAAAAATGACAGAGAAGGCTATACAAGGAACAAAGTGAAGTGGATGCACTTTTAAATACAGTTTAGGTGGCCATCTTGTATACTCTCTAGGGAATAAAACTCATTGAATTCAGTAGGGTTTACTTGTGAGGAAACAAGTGCAGGGCTGAACTGCTAAAGTACAAGCTTTCTAAAACAAAGGGCCTGATATTATGTTACATAAACAGACGGAGGCTCTATAAAATTACAGTAATTATTGAGACAGCTATGTCAGCCACTTTTATGATGCTCTCTAGTTTCAAATATTTAGAGATTACACTAGGTGAGGAAGAGAAAAGAGGCATGCAATGGAGGCTGAGATAAACTGACATACTGACTTCAGATACCAGTCATAAGATCTGGTCGCTCATGTGAACAACTTCTTTTCTTTTTTTGGGTAGGACAGCCAATCAAACCAATCAGCATCTCCAAATATGCTCCAACCATATGGGCACACTTTATATCTAGACTGCATTTCTGGATGATGATGTAACGTAGCTGCAATTCGCCTAGTCAGAGATCTGAGGCATGATGTGACCTCACAGGGCATCTGTTAAGGATAACACAAAATTGGAAGACTCCATGCAGAGGCTTCAGGAAGCCTGCACCCAACACATTCAAAGGTTAATCAAGGACTCAAGATTCTGCAAACATCCCTTGTAAATAAAGAGATTAATTCTTGTACTAACTCAAGCAAACACTAACAAGGCCCACAATTGTGTTACCATAGATAGCTAAACTGTCAGGCACATTCCATTCCCTTTCTGAGTAATAGCCCTGCTCTGGTTAAGCAACTCATGACCAGCAGTGGAAATAACCTGCAGTGTTCTTAAAGATGACACAAATGTAAACAACTTTCTGGGAAAACTGAAGTCAATAGCTTGTGGAGCTGATGAAGCATAAAACATAAAAGGAAAACTTAATGTATCTTGGTGACATGACTAACATCTGTCACTTCCACAAGGGTTTGTTACAGACCATATCTTTCTTGCTCATCTCAGATGTTGCTAATTAAAATTTACCGCTTTTACACTGAATTATACAGATGGGAAATGTATTAAAATCTATACAGCTACATTTCAAGAGATGAATGCTAATAATAGTTAATTTTGGTGGGCTGCTTCATAATTACGGGCTCTGTCCAATTTTCAGTTTTCCTGAATGTCACATATTTCATTTAGAGAACCAAGTATACAGCTTTGTCTTACTTAGTCTTGGTCCCTCTGAATGTCATGTATTCCCATTAGAGAATCAAGTGTACAACACTGCCAGTGAAGTCACATTAGGCTCCTCACCTCACCCCTCAAGTTATGAAATGTACCATATATACTTGAGTATAAACCAAGGTTTTCATCCCTTTGTAAGGCTAATAAAGCCCTTCACCTCAGCTTATACTTGAGTATATACAGTAAGTTTCTGTCAAATTTCTTTTTGGATAACTTTTTCTTCACTTGCCTAGGAACAATCCAAAGGATCATTGCATTTCACAGAATACAGAATATTTTAGATTATATTTACATCTGAGAAACAGAATCTCTCTGCTAGTGCTGAGTGACAACACAAGCAGTTTCTCCTATTTACTTCTGAGAAAAAATATCCTATTAAAGTCCAGCATTTATAGTCCTATTTTCCTTAACTATTTCTTGTCCTATAATTTTTCCCCAGAAAATACAGAGCTGAAACAAAAACAATTCCCTGGATTACAGCATCTGAATAATTATGAAGGTTTATTAAATACTCAAGATGTCCAATTAACATATTTTACACAAACAAAGCTAACAACCTGTAAGGCAGAGTCATAAAAACCAATTCAAGACTCCTACCTCCTTGCTTCAATCAATGTCACACCTCATCTCTGCCACTACATTTTTCTTTAGTTATTTTAAGACCAAGCACTCTTGAACTAAATTTCCAGCACATCCCAAGTTCCCAATCTGTTTTTTGTCTGCTTGAACAGACGGCATGAATATACATTTACAGCCAAGAGGAAGCGAGTACCTTTGCCAATCTTCCACCGCCTCCTCAGCCTTATGCCAACCAGGCATAGCTGAATCTGCAGATGCCTGCACCCTAGTCTCCAGACAACAAAGGAGAGAACACTCAAAACATTTTATCATTTAATTGGAATGTCAGCACTTTGCATACCCTTCATTAAATAAACCCATTGAGGGCAATCTAATACTTTTTCTTATTGGAGCTGTTGGGAATGCTGTTAAGCGCATGGAATAGGCAGTCACATATAATAGCAAGATTGCCTGAATACAGAAAGAGAAGAATGTCAGCAAAGACATAATGAAGATCAGCTGAGAAAAAACTAAGTAATAAAGTAAAACATGAATAGTTTGGGGCTCGGCACATTACTAGAGCAAGATCACAAATCAGTAGGTAAGCATATTCTTTGCACATTTTAATCTAAGGCTGAATAAATTTTCCAGATACAATCAACTAAAGCAATATCCTCCCCCTTAGATCTTCTAGAATTGGTGCCAATCTGTGCTTGGCTAGAGAAATGAATGGCTCGATTCAAACTAAGGAACAAATTGATAACTTGTGACCTTTCATCATTCACTATTAATTCTGCTGCTTAGGACTGATTGGAGTTCCATCATAACTTCCGGATGGCCCCAAGTTCCTCATTCCTGGTCTAAACGTAATTTCAAATGACAATAATGCATCTTTCATGTCCTGCATTTTGCAGAAAGCAGCAACTATGGAGTGCTTTGCAATATATGTCTTCATGTACTTGTACTGTAACACCTCCTTCAACCAGTGAAATGTATGTACACTTTGTGTTGTTAAAGAAAAGGGGATTGTTAACAGTTAAAAGCAAAACAACTTCCCAAAATGGATTATTTGTCCAAGTAAATTTAATTGATTTACGATGAAATTGCAATCCATCATTTCAGTCTGAAATCTATAGGCTACAGTGCAACATGTATGAAATAGAACTCCTTGAGAATGTATCATGAAGTGGACAACTTTAGAAGTGTATGGGGATGCATTAGTTCCCTTCTTTACATGCACTCCTGGATAATCCCTTCTTTACATGCACTCCTGCAAAAAAAACCCCTTTTTTGCTGAAAAATATCCTGTAACTGGGCTTTTTATCATGTCCTGAGCCAATTTACTTTCTGTTATTCTATGTATGTTTACCAGAGGTGGCTTTGCCAGCTTATTTCTCTGAAATATAACCTACAATATGATGTATTTGTTGGCAATCTACTATCTAAGTAATAACCAGAGTTAACCAGATAGGATCTCGTGCCTTTAGGGTATATAGGTTCCTTCCTGTACACTACCTGTTTTTAGGAAAGGTCTTCTTGACCCTAAATTGGCCCAAGAGATAACATAGTGAAAATGCTGTCATGCCCCATAGGGAACATTTTGGGCCCAAAATCTGTAAAGCAAAGTTTGATCGTTTGGAGGTCCAAGAAGTTTCCATATACTGTGTAAATGCCCTACATATACCAAGAGAGCACCTGAAAAAAAATACACATTTAAAGAAACACCATGGCCTTGAGGACTATAAAAATGCCCCTGGGAGAGTTGCATGTGGCCTACAGGTTCCCTTTGCCCACTCCAGTCTACCAAGATAATTTCAGTTCCTTCACTTCACAAGAATAAGCTTCTTTCCATAGGATAGCACAGACCCACTATTCACAGTCCAGAAATTCAATACACACCTTAAGTGAGAGGGTCTTTTGCAAGACATCAAAAAGAAACTGGGCTTGAAGGATTGCAGATGTTTCAGCCGGGTGCGATGAGAGTGCAATGAACCCATGATTCTGGTTCCGTGGCAGTAGGTGCTGTTCAAAGATTTCAGTGAGAATCTGTAGTGTGGATGTGAACAAAGTCAAAGTGCTAGTACCATCCAAAATCAAGTCACCTAAAGAAAAAGACAAAACCATTAACATCAGATCAACATGAACTTACGACGCAACATGAAGAAAAGCTTGTTGATCGCATGTAAGTCTGCCAACATATCACCACAGTTTTGTATCTTGATAAGCAAAGAACCACACTTTGAAGTTGCTTTTTGTTAAGGCTTTCCAGAAATGGTTCCATTCTTTGTCAATCACACACTTATTTAATATACATTCCCTACTTCCCTACATCACAACAACAGGGTACAATTAATGCATATTAAAGTCATTGCTACTGCACAGGAGTTGTAGTTATAAGAGGTTTTAGCCTCCTCAGCTAAAGAGAGCTTGTGCTTCCCTAAACTACAACTCCCAGGATTCCCCAGCAGACAAAGCAATGTCAAACTGCATCCTTTCTATAATGTAGATGGCACTCAACCATGTTCCAGCAAAGTGAAGGTGCAGCAAATATTCAGAGCCTCACCAGAATCCTGTAGTAATTGTGCTAGGCTCTGCAGCATTATTTCCTTTGGGGCTGCAGGCGCCATCTGCAAAGAGAAAGGACAAAGAGAATTAATAATAACAAATCATCCTAGAAGCAGTGACAGAAGAAAGCCAGCTTGTTGAAGGGTTCTGAATACAAAACTAGACCAGGCTTTGCGATTGGTGGGGACGAGGGACAGGGCCTTCTCAGTGGTGGCCCCTCGACTCTGGAACTCACTCCCCAGAGACACCAGACATGCCCCAAGTCTTTAGGAGGAGCCTGAAAACATGGTTGTTCCAGTGTGCCTTCCCAGAATAAGGAAACTCCCAGCAATATGTCCCTAAACGCACTTTATTAGTGATCTAGGATTGTCTGCACGCTCTATCCCTCTCCAAAATTTCTATCCTGGTTATATGTCACCTGGTCACGCCCAGCATTATTTTTTAAAAATGTTAATTAGTACATTTGGCCCTGCCATAGGTTTTTAAATACCGTTGTATTATTGTTAATGTTTATTGCTATTTTCTGTTTATGAGTTTTATTTATTGTTTGTATTACTGTTGCTATTGTTGTATTGTTGTATTGTGGGCTTGGCCTCATGTAAGCCGCACTGAGTCCCTTGGGGAGATGGTAGCGGGGTACAAATAAAGATTATTATTATTATTATTATTATTATTATTATTATTATTATTTGAGTCCTGCTCAGCCAGCGAAACTCATGGGGTGATCTTGGGGCAAGTAACACTCTCTCCGCCTCAGAACAAGTCTTGGCAATTCCCTCTGAATAAGTCTTGCCAAGGAGCCCCCGGTGGCGCAGTGGGTTAAAGCACTGAGCGGCTGAGCTTGTTGATCGAAAGGTTGCAGGTTTGATTCCGGGGAGCGGCGTGAGCTACCGCTGTCAGCCCTAGCTTCTGCCAACCTAGCAATTCGAAAACATGCAAATGTAAGTAGATCAATAGGTACTGCTCCGGCGGGAAAGTAACAGCGCTCCATGCAGTCATGCCGGCCACATGACCTTGGAGGTGTCTACGGACAACCCTGGCTCTTTGGCTTAGAAATAGAGATGAGCACCACACCCCAGAGTCAGACATGACTGGGCTTAATGTCAGGGGACTACCTTTACCTTAAGTCTTGCCAAGATAAGGTTGTCATAAGTTGAAACTGATTTGAAAGCACACAACAACAAACAGTGGCATATATTTAAACACAGCAGATTCTCATTTAACCGGCACCCATGGGGATTGGCAGGTACCAGATAAATGCAGTTTCTGGTTGCTTAAGAGTTACTATTAAAAACAGGCTTAACTAATACTATACCATACCATAAACTCTGCATTGCTTTGGCATTAATATTGAAACACAATAATTAAAAGCCAGTTTTGGCGTATTTTACAAACAGCTTTTTTCCAATTTAAAGTATAGTTTCCTCGATAGTTTTGCCGGTTGCCTGGTTAATTGTGAGTCTCCCACATACCTCAAAGCCAAGCCATTCTGAGAGAACTGCCCTGCACTCACCAATCTGGAATGTGCTCCCCAAAAGAGGGACTATTCAGTCACAACTCTTGCCTGAGAAAGTCAACCCGCACCAATGAGAGGGATTAAAAACAAAGAAGCCTGAGCAACCTCTGCCCTCCAGAAGGGAAAGCCTTTTTGGACCCACTTCCTCCCCAATCCCTCGGGGTCACATGACTGCGCCTGGCCCAGCTACCTTCACCACTCATTAGAACCCGGCCGCAAGGGATGCCGGGACCCTTCTGGGACTCCCGCTCGGCCCCCGACTCACCTCCGCTGGGTCCCTCTACGGCAGGGAAAAGGAAACAAGCGCCACGTGACCCGAGGAAGTAACCATGGCAACGCAAGCGCAGCCTCTCCCTCCTATTTATTCGGAGAGCCACGCGCCTACGGCGTCCGGTTGTGCTTCCCGAACAGAGAGAGAAGCGAGTCACTCACTTCCGCATTACCATAGAGAGCATTCGCCAGAGTGTCCGCGGCGGATTTAAAGAACCCTTGCCTGCCTTTCCACTTCTTCGATCGCACCGCCCCTTTCTGCCTCTTTGTTGTTGTTTACTCCTCCACTCGCTTCCGACTCTTGGTGACCTCATGGACCAGCCCACGCTAGAGCTCCCTGTCGGCCGTCGCCGCCCCCAGCTCCTTCAAGGTCAAGCCAGTCACTTCAAGGATACCATCACTCCACCTGGCTCTCATAGATATTTTCCCTCATATATATTCGGCGTCCTGTTTTGTATGGACTTCAACTCCCAGAAGCCCCAGCCAGTGTGTCCAGTAGTTAGGAATTCTGGGAGCTGAAGTATTAAATGTACCCGAAGGCCCTTCATTTGGGAACAGTCTAGAAAGCCTCTCCTTATAATTTACACTGTCCTATCTCCCAGTGTTTTCAAATTTTAAAATGTTTATCCTTGCATCTGGCCCTGCCTAGTGAAATGTTCTGTGTTTTTAATGCTTGATTGTATATTGTGTCATATATTATTTTGATTTTGCATTTTATGTATTTTGCTTGGTTTTACTATGTTTTGTGTTATATTGTTTGTATTGTATTGATGGGCGTGGCCTCATGTAAGCCGCACCAAGTCCCCCTGGGGGAGATGGAGCGGGGTATAAATAAAGTTTTGTTATTATTATATTATAGAAATTCAGCCTCTTTCTACATTACCCTTTAGTCCCTTCCTTCCTCTAGAAATATGACTAAGGTCCTCATCACACTCTGCATTTTTCCACTTCAATCCACTTTAAATGCTGTGATTGCCTCCTGCAGAATTCTGGGGTTTGTAGTTTAGGTAGGGCCCTTTAAACCACTCATCAGAGAAGCCCTGGGCCTCCTTAAACTACAAACCCCAGAATTCTGTAGGAGACAATCACAGCATTTAAAGTGGAAAAATTCTCAAGTGTGAAGATGAAATAGAGCCATTTAAAATAGTTGCAGGTAGTGAGATAGTGGATAGCGGAACCCTGAAGCGCGGATAGTGAATCTCGTTAAGCAGAGAGCTGACAGTGGGCTGCCTTTGGATCCGTGGCTGGCAAGACCTAGAAGTGAGAACCCAATCTTTCCCAAATAAAGAGATCTCACCAGTTGAAGAAGAAAGCCACCAAGGTATTTTATTTCGTTCTACCTGGAAAGGATGACAGCTTGCGTTAAGCCACTAGAGGAAGCTGAGATACTTTACATAGCAAAAACAGGCATTTTATACATACTTTGTATTTCTCATTCGCTGCAGCTAGGGCCGCCTCCATGCTGATTGGCGGAGCTCTGTTGATGCCATGGCCAGCTGGGGAGGGTTCCCTTGGAGAGGCAGGACTGTGGCACCTGCCAGTCAATCAGGAAGCATTCCCTGCTTCCAATGCAGATTTCTGCTCTCCATGGCTGACCAGGTATTGGGGGGGGGGGGGGGGGGGGGGGGCAGGATGGTCCAGGACAAAAAGGAAGGTTAAGTGTTCTGAGTGAATTACCATTGTCCCATCAGAGGGACAAAACAAAGCGGGGCCATCAAGTCCCATGTGTTTTATTGATTGTTCCTTTTTCTTGGTGAGTGACCCATTAAGGCAGGTTCACAGAGCATTGTTCAAAGTGATAGGATTAGCACAGGGCCATAGCCAGAAAAAAAATTCAGGAGGGGTTGAAAGTTTTGCGGGGGGGGGGTTGAAAATTTCGTGGGGGGGTTAAAACCTGCCTCCTAGCTCATGCTGAATCAAAGAGCACAGCAGGGGCAGAGCAGCCTTCAGTAGCCTGCAGCTCCACCCCCGTCAACCACCTCCACCAAGTCTGGCCTCCTTAATTCAACACACACACACTCAACTTGGTTGCTTCACTACGTCGGCTATTGCTGCAAGCAATGACCGTGTGAATAAATTGTCAATATTTACTTGAGATAGTGCTTACAGTTCTGGAGGGACTCTTAATTTTTTGCATCTCATAGACTTAGCATGGGGATTTGGTTAACCAGTTAAAATTCATGAGTAAACCAGGTTTTTTAAAAAATCTGAAACATTTCGGGGGGAGGGGGTTAAACCCCTAACCCACCCACCCCTTGCTACAGGCCTGGATTAGCACGTCCAGTCCTGGAAAATGGGGAAATGTTATCTTGGGGAAACGGGGAAAATCATCCCGGTATCAGGGAAGAAAATGCCCAGTGATAAATGTCCTTTATCATGTCCAAGTAGCTGCACAAAGGACAAGCAGCCCAGTATTGGGATCCTGTTGTCCTATGCCCATAATGGCGAACCTATGACATGCGTGTCAGCACTGATATTTGCTGTACTGTAGTGTAGACACTCTGTACTGGAGGTCTGTAGGCCAAAACAACAGAACATCTAGTTGTGGGACTTCTGGTTAGGCTGTTAGAGGATCTTGTGATCCCCATTACGAGCAACCTCATAACCACAGCAACCATCATCCAATCTACTGTTCTGGGGTGTCGTGGATTTCTAATTGATCATCATTACTTAGATAAATGAGGGGGAGGCTGGGAGAGGCAAGGGTCTGTGCTAAGTTCCCCCTCACTTATCTTAGTTCACGGCACCCCACACAATTTAAATAATATCAAGACCAACAAAAGAAACCAATTGACAGATGAACAAAGAAGTCACTAAGCAGGTAAGTTAAATAATTAGTTTTTACTTTATAAAATAAAGTTATATATTACACTTATATATTTTTGTTATTCAAACTATAAATATTGTGAAATTGTGATTTTTTTCTTGAAGTGACACCCCACCCAAGTTATGCTCAGTTTTTTGGCGAATTTTGACACATCAGTCTCAAAAGTTACGCATTACTGTCCTATGCACAGCTGGGTTTATGGGGCCAATTGAGATGGATTGACCCCAGAGATGATAGATGTTATATCCATTGTGTTTAGGTTCTTTCAGGAGAGACAAAGCAGGATAGTTAGTAATAATAATAATAATAATAATAATAATAATAATAATAATAATAATAATAATGGCAGTTAAAGTGGTCTTGAACTCCATTAATTTTACAGTGTAGATGGACCCCCTGCTTCATTCTGCTTGCTGCGAGAGCTCCCTCGGGAAGGAGCCATGTCCACACAAAGCTTTTGTCAAAATAGATACTGTTCCATTAACTAGGCAGAGGCTACAAGGAGGCGCTAAACAGAGGATAGTATGGGGCAGAGGGGAGTTGAAGGAGTTAAACCATTTCATCCTGTTTTCCTGTTATTCCCCCCACTCATGTTGCCATCATGAAAACAACCATCATTTATTATATGGAAAAGGGTGGGGGGAAATAATTAGCAAAAATGGGGGAAATTGTTTTCCTTATTCAACGCCCCCCCCCCCCCCAAATAAAATGAACTATCCTTCTCTGTCTAGGCTCCCTTTTGAAGTCTGCCCGGAAAATGGAACAATATCTCAAAATTTATGGAAGTTTTATAGGAATTTGGCATTTTGAATTCAAAAAGTTTCTTGTATTTATTGCATTTAAGAGTAAGCTAGAATAAAAATACAGTTTATACATTTGATACTTGGAAAATGGATACTTTATATAAAAGGATAAAAGTTACACAGAAAGGAATAGATACAAATATGGTAGCTGCTGTTCTTAGTTTTGAATTTGGATTTCTGGGCATGGAGATGACGAGATTGTGTAAATATGTTTTCCCAGGCCAGCCAAATAAAGAATGTTGAAATGGCCAAAGTCTCCTTTGTTTTTGAGCCACATCTAAGGCTGTTTCCCAGCGTGGCACAATAGCTGGATAGTTTGCCTCTTAACCTAGGTCAGTCAGAGGCCAATGTTTCCTGACTCAGAAGTAAAATAGAACATATTTAATAGGTTTATATGAATAAAGTGAAATAAAATATAGTTCATGGTTAGGAGGATAGAGGAGAGAAGCAAGGGTCTGGAGGTAGCGGGGCTTGGGAGGTTTCATGTAGGAGGAAGAGCGCTGCTATATTTCATTTTGGACTGTTGTCCTTGGAAAACTATATAGCCTTCTTATTGTGAATGATAAATCCCATTTTGTTAGGGATGGGGGTAGCTGTGTTCGATAACAAAACCACTAAGGGCTTTATCAGACTGGCATTTTCAAATGCTTTCTTGGCATCTTCAGCCTCCTGCAGAATTCTGGGAAATAGCAGATCTTGTATTCACTAATCCAAAAGACTAGAGCTGTTGTGGCTTCTCAAATATTGGGATGCTGAATGCTATTGTACAGTTTCTTCCATATACGTACATTTAGATGGATACAGAGCAGCACTAGCAGATAGTATGTGTCACTTTTAATTTTATGAGTCCCAGTTTTGGGGAAAATCAGGGTATTAATAAAGATAGCAACAACAATCATGTAAAGTGACTCCTTAACAGGACTAACAAGTTCTCAAATCCCTGTGTATTTAGGAAAGTCGATATGAGAGAGACTTACCACACCTTCTCAAGATAAGGCTATGATCAGCACCTGAAAGCAGTTTCACAAATTCTTTTTCACATAATCTCCTGATCTTATCAGCTGTGCACCTCTTGTTCTGGTTGTTCGGTTTACAATTTCATACTTCATAAAACCTGAGATGATTCAACTGAAGATACTATAGAATAAACATGGAACCTTCTACATACAAAGCCTTTACTCTTTGAACCAATGCAATGTTGGGAGATTTTCTTTTTTTAGAGAGGTCAATGGAAAAACTCACAGTGATGTTTTTTGCTTAGAGATCAAGTTTTTGTTTTAGACTCTTTAAGTATTCTGCTCTGGAGTATATTTTGAGCCATACCTTGCCCAGTCACAGCTTTGTTTTCAGATAGGACTAAAATATTTGAGATGTTATCTGAGGCCCCATTTACACTGACCATTTAATGCAGATTAAGCTGCATTATATGACCCTGAAGACTCATATAAAGCAGTTCAATGCAATCAAATTGCATTATATGGGTCTACACTGAACATATAATGCAGATTCAGACTGCATTATATGGCCCTGTAAATCCAGCCTTTATCATCAGAC